CTACCTTTCCCCGAGATTTTCAACCAGATTGGGTTTCACTTACCTTCGCAATATCCACTCTGCAAAAAATGGGAAGCACAGATGGACCACACTCTACTTCATTGTGAATTCAGTGCTCCAGTTTGGGACTTCTTTTGCAACATCCTACAAGGCCCAAAACTCAGAGAAGGAATCACTCTAAGGCAACACATCTTCGAATGGTGTCTTCGTCCTAGCAATACAACAATTCGCAGCAATCTAAACGTGGTCATACCTGGTATTATTGCTTGGAGTCTATGGAAGATGTACAACGGGGCAATCTACAATGAAGAACAGCCTTCCCACCAATCGGTCCACAACAACATCACTCAAGCAATTCGACACTGGTGCTGGAATCATCGATACAAGTGCTGGATGACCAGAGATGAAGAATTATCTACCCTAGGTTATCAATCAGTCTCTCTCAATGGAAAAACACTACAGATTTTCTACAGGGGACAAACAGGGTTTGAGGATGAAGATTAGAGTGAGAGGACTTTAGTTTTGACCTTCTACTCTTTATTTTCTGAAGTGTATTAAGTGTATGTTTGTTATCTACCTTCGGGGCCTCGGCCTAATCCTCCCCGAACGTGTACTTTACTTCTCACTTAATAAAAGTTTTCTTTAAAATATATATATATATATATATATATATATATATATATATATATATATATATATATATATATATATATATATATATATATATATATATATATATATATATATATATATAGGCACATGATAATGGAAGGGAGAGGGAGCAGCGATCCCTGGCGGCGAGAATTTCACGATCACACTTCCCGGAAACCTTACATCGGATACTATGGCTTCTCTGGGCGGCGCTCCATCTTTTCAAAACGTCGACCTGCTACATAATCACTTGAAATCGAAAGATTTCCAGATCATAAGAATAACTGGATCCGCCGCAAGAAGGGTAAGAATCGAAGATGGCCATTCAGATCTCCAGACACAAAGGCTTTGGAGGATTCCTATGTCTTCAACCATTCTCGTATGGTCACCTTGGGTTGTAAGGAGCAAGCCATAGCCACAATATCTAGCCGCAACCATAGATTTACATTCCGAACCCAAAATGAGGTATTTGAGCTATTCCACTCATTTTATAATAAAAACTTCTGCATAACTGAGTGTGGATATAGAAGATATGATCTCTGGTTTGATTTGGATACATTAAGATGGATTTTGGAATCTCTTCCAAGGATTTCTATAAATAGAGCTTGGGCTCTCTTTTCGTTTGGGGATAACCGTACCATTGAGTTAGCTGCTGGTTCAAATAGAAGGGGTGACTTTGTTAAAATCCAAGAGAAAAGAAAAGAGGGGAAGAGATACATCCTAATCCCTACTGGACCTAAGAATGATGATTTGGCTCTGTTCTTCAAGGCAGTTTCTTCTTTCGTTGATAAGGTCACCAAGGCCTCTACTTCAAAGCCTCTTGAGATTGCCCCTGCCACCACTCCAATTGCTCAAATATCTGTAAAACCTCCGAATTTACCTCTAGCAGAGACAGTTGAGCACCATCTACTGATTCCTCCCCAGTTGGCTACATTGGGAAGTGTAACACCTGGACTATGTTTAGACCAATATCACTCAGGAAGTGCAGAGTTCAAAGGAGAGATTGAGGTTGATAATGGTGTTACCAAAGACACTTCTTCTCTTGAATGTGAAAGCCTTTTGGCTGCCACCAAGGAGGTAGCTGTCCTTATCCCTTCCCTCTTCCCTCCTCTGTCTTGCAGTACCATGTCCCCTTTTGCTCCACCGTTCATACCTGTGACGAAAAATTCCTTTGCAGCACTTTTATCTCAAGGACCAGGAAGCGAGAACAAAGTCATTGAGCATCAGGACCCTTTTTCAAAGATCCACGACAAGAGCCTAGTACATAGCTTGAATGCAGTGGAGGACTTTATTGAAGATAGGGATGGACCTATACTTTATACCCACTCAGACGGAGAGGATATAGCATTCATAGACTCTAAGCTTAAGCCTCTGCAAATAGACTTCTCAAGATGTTCCAAACAACACTTAAACCTACGCAAGGAACTTAGGGGCACCAGAACAATTTCACCTTCTCAAATAGTTACTCGAAGCAAGGCAAAAATTCTGGAAGAAGGCAGGAAAATAGCTCCACTTTTATGGGAGGAGGATGAGTCCCAAGATTCGTTTGAAGAAGAGGTTATCAAATGCTTTCGACTTTGCTGTCCAAACAAGAAAGAGGAGTATTCCAAGAAAGCCAACAAACCTTTGACAAAAAGTCAAAAGAAGAAAGCTAAGAAAAGGCTAAAAAAGAGTTTGGCAACTGATAATGAAGATGAAGAGGATGATTTTCAACATTGATCATATGCTGTTTTGGAGCAGCAATTTTAGTGTTTCTATTTTGGATATCAGTGTCATGCAACCTCATTCAAAATTTGATTAAGCCTTCACCAAATCAAGAACAACCAAGGCCTGAGAACTTTTGTATATTTCTTTTGTTCACCCTCAGGGCAAGGGTATTCGAGGGAATGGTTGCAGCTATTGAGACAGTGTAGTCATTTAGTTAGACATCAGGTTAAAAGATGGTTTACTGGTCCTTTTGGACAGTGCCTTAGAGATTGAAGTTTAGCAACTCTGATTGTCTGGAATTCCTTTCATGTGCTGTTTTGTTCCCCCTCACGGGCATCTAGAGTAGCAATTAGTTACGTGGAGATGAACAGAGAAAGCAATTTTCAATGAAGATCGAGAGCAGACTGAATCAGCTCCATTGGCAATGTATGTGAACCCAAAGTTGGGATGAAAAGCAACGCCAAACGCCTCCAAGCATCTGGGTGAGACATACGCTCGAGGGATGGGTGGTAGGACTGGTGGCTAAGGTTCTCTGCGTGGATTCCATCGCTGCCTCCTCGATTCCTTCATACCGGTTCCCATTTACTAGTACATGTGGCCAACGGAGATTTCCAATAGACAACTTCTCTTCACATCACAACTTGAAATATGCAGGACTATGTTTGGGATTCATATTTGATCAGTTTATTTGGACTATGGTTGGGTCTTTTGTTTGGACGGGAGCTGCACGAAGGGAAGAATCTGGCCATTTATGTGGAAAGGGACATGTTGAATAAGGTCACTATTACAGCTAGGACATAAATTGTTTGAAATTGAAGAATCTAGACATTTTTATGGTAAGGGTCATGCTGCCGCTGGCCACATCTTGCTTGGCATGATAAGTCTGGCCATACTCCCTTGGTTTCTTTTTTTTTTGTTTTGTATTTGTTTGTTTGGTAGATGATCCTTTCTTGTACCTGGTTTTCTTTGGCCGTTTTGTTGGGTTGGCCACCCCTCTCTTGTACTCCTTCTCCTCTTTTTAATAAAATCCTTTTCATTATATATATATATATATATATATATATATATATATATATATATATATATATATATATATATATATATATATATAGGTTCGTGTGTTTCACGAAAACAAAATTGCAATGTAAAATAAACGGATAAATAAAAATTTTATTTCAATAATATTTCTTTATTGAATTAAATATTCTCCACTTTGGATTTTTTTGGTTAAAATTTCGAAAACTTTGATCTCATCAAAAATAAATATGATATTAGATAACAATATAAAAAAGTTACACCCGTGAATATACATTTATACATAATCAATACATTGAAATAAATTAGGGCATTTATTAATATGGTACGTTTGGGGCTCGAGGCTATGGGGAAGAGAATAACACACCAACTCACTACTGTTGCATTTAAATGACTTCGCATTAAATGCGAGCATTTATCATTGTTTTGATAAATATTATCTAATTATCATATATATAGTTTTTGATTAATATTATCTAATTATAAAATAATTTGTATCTCTTTTGAGAGAAAAGTTTTAATTTTAATATAATATTGATGTACAAGTATTAAAATTTATATAAATCTTTATTTAGAGATGTAATAAAAAGGAAAATGATGAATAGTATTAAAAATCACATCACTCTTTATTTTTTAATGGATTAATAAAGTTTATAAAATATTTTTTAGATAAAAGCTAATTATGTACAAAATCTATTTTTAAATAGTGCAACACATAAACTCTAAAATGAATACAAACATTGGATAAAATATATTATGTTTTTAAATCTATATAATCCATTTGTTTCAGAAAGATTATCATAGTTTGTATTTTTTTTGTAAAATTGTGTAACACTTTGATTACAAATAAAATATAATTTTCAATAATTAAATGTCATAAAAAATTGATATATGAAAAAAATATTTTAAATGGACACATTTTTCTTCTAAATTTATAATACAACTAAATATAGTATATTTTTTACACAGTCTGTGATCAAGGTATAAAGCAACTTGACCAAAAATACCAAATTGTGATAACATTTTTTGGGAGGAAGAGGTAACATATTTCAAAAGGGTTATCAAATGAAACAATAATGAGATTTGATTTAATCAATGAAAAATAAAATAAAAATTCCAAAGAAATCAACCAAGTAATGAAAATTGCATAAGTGGTATACGATCTATATGTCATGTGTTATCCTTCAACAAAAACAAATTTATTTAATTTAATTTGTTGATATAGTATATTAGAAATTAAATAATGTAATAGATAAAACATTTTGAAATAAAATATATAATTATGGCTCATATCAATTCTCTTTCCTTTACACAAAAAACAACCACCAACATTCTAATTTATTAAAAATTGTAAAAAGTCAAACTCGTAAGAAAATTCTATGACGAAAGGAGTATATAAAATGCAACATGTATCATCTTTCCACTCTAACTTTGATTTGTTTAGTTTGTTGAACAAATATACATTGTATACTAAAATATACATGTAATAGGAAAAAATTTTTGAAAATAAATCATGCATTTAATAAATATTTATATGTGATTAAAAATTATAATACTATTTTGAAAATTGTTTTACTTGATGAAAATTAAAACAAAAATGTCAAATAGATCAATTAAGTATTGACACATCATTAGAGAATGTACATCAATCATGTGCCAAATGTAATTCTTTAATTTAAACTTTCACTTTGTTTAGTTAGCTGAATGAATATAAAATCAAGATGCATGTGTGAAAAAATTTATGTATAATAAATCTTTTGAGATGATGGATAATTTTTAAAAATTATAAGCAACATTGTTTTTTAATATATAAATCTTATATAATTTTTTTAAAAATACTCCCTCCGTCCCTAAAAGAAGTTCCCTTATTGACTTTTTAGAAAATTAAGGGAGGGATATTTTGGTGTTGATTTTCTAAAAATACCGTTGATGTGATGGATAAAAGTAAGATGTGATAGATAGATTATAATTAAAAACGTATATATATATATATATATATATATATATATATATATATATATATATATATATATATATATATATAAAATTATAAGTCAAATGTTGAAAACAGTTAATCGAAAAAAGTCAAAACTGGACAAATACTCATGGACCGAGGTAGTAATTAAAAAGTTATTATTCTTTCTTGCTTTATAAAAAACAAAATCTTAAATTATTGATCTTAAATTTCTATGATTAAAATGTTTAATTTTAAAATATTAAGAGTCAATTATTCTTCTCACCCACATTGATTTTAAAAAAAAGAAAAATTTGCACTAAATAGGACTAGAACATAAGTTATTTCTCAATGTAGGACTTAACCTTTTTTATTCTCTAAATATGACTTAGTAATGTCTAGGGGAAGAAATAATGTCCAGTGATGGAGGACATTTACTTGAATAATGACTAATTAATAATGACCAATGGTCCTATATTAGAAAATAAAAACATATGGTCCTAAATTGAGAAAGTCATTATGTTTTAGCCCTATTTTGGTAAATTACTCTTTAAAAAAACAATAAAATGTTAGTGCTCCAATGATTTTGCTGGGATAGTATTTTAGTCAAGATATAAAATGTTCTATCAAAATTCAAGTAGTTACAAATTGGAAATTATATTTTCTTTGATGTGGTTGTAACCTGTAATTGAGTCTCGAACTTATTAGCTATTACACCCTGAATTTTCTACACAATTTTTTTACTTTTTTTATTATCCTAAATCTTCATTGTCACAAATCTTCTCACGCTCATCTCCACACCTTATCTTCTTTGTCACAATCTTCTTTGCATAAATATGTGGCATCTCATAAAGTATCATCATATGAAGTTTCCATGTACGATTGCGTAAATGAAAACCTAGGAAGTAAGTCTTCTCTCATTCAAAATTTCTTAATTTTATGTATATAAACATTTGGAATTCTAACACAATATAAGTATGTACTGAGTAAATCGTAAGTTACAGTATAAGATTATTTTGATTAAAATAGTAAACCAAGTTACCAAGATAAACTTTAAAAGTCTTATTAAATCTTTTTTTTAATTTGTTTATTTTAAATATTCAATATTTTAAAAATAGTCAAATTGTATGGAAATAATTTTATTTTATATCATAATTAGTCATCTTACCATAAATAAAAGTTCTAGGTTAGATATACATTGAGCCTATCTCATAGTATACGTATTATCCATTTGTCTAAAGATAAACTACATAATCATGACACATATAATTCTCTTAGAATATATAGTATTAAGTCTTTTAGTCACCTAAGTATAAGTTATAAATTTCTTTGAGTAATTTTTAAAATAGTCTTTTCGAATAAGGTATTTTTCCAAAATCAATGTTATTAAGCATTAATTATCTATATAGTACTTTATAGTTGATATTTATTCACTTTGTGTCCTCTGTATATGTTTGTTAAATGGATGTTCAGTGGGAGAAATTTAGGTATTTCCAACAATTAAATGTAGAGTAATTTTTCAAAATGACCCTTTCGAATTAACCTTTTTCCAATTTAGGTCTTCGTTATAATAATTATAATTTTTATCCCAATTATGCATTTACGGGCACCTTAATGTTTTGTGTCTCCCTATTTGTCACTCATGTTCTCGCTAGTAAATTTTGAGTGATGATGACCTCGCCTCCGATCCCCCACTTCATATCTATGTAGAATTTAGAAAAAATTCACGTATGAAAAATACATGATTCATTTTTTTTGCAAATATTGTTTTGTTGTATATATCTCATGCGAATAGTTTTTTTGTGTTTTTTTTTAAAAAGTAGTAGTTGTGACTTCAATGAAGTCAAAAGTGAAATACCTCTGATTATTTTAAAATGTTTTTGTAATTTTTCTTTGTGAAAACACTTGCAACTAAATTTATTTTGCTATTTAAAAATAAATTCATATCAAGTGAATTTTCTTTGGATATAAAGTATATGTGATTATTTTTGTGTGATAATTTTCTAAATTTTTATGTGAAAAGTGTAACTATTATTTTAGAAGTTGACCTTAAAAATTTATACTATTATTTTAATTATTTAAGAAGTTGATTTTATAAAATTTTTAATCAAAAAATTAATTTTAGTTCTAACTTAATTGCATAAAATTTCATGTAGGTTTTAATTTTTCAATAATACTCCCTCTGTGTTTGGGATTGATCTTCTCAATTGACTTTTCTTGTCAATTTTGTATGTATTAACCTCGATGTATAGAACATTGTCTTTCAATAGAAATGCATTACCAATAACTTCTTTTTGAAACTAAGGAATCTCTTAATGTTTAGTAGCTCCTATTTTGAAAATAGAAAAAATATGTATTTTTATTTTGGTATCTTCTCCATGTTTATTCCTATTCTGGTATAGAGTATTTTTTTCCAAAAAATTATAGAGACACTGTACATGGACATATAATCCGTATACAACTTAAATTGGATCCACCCTTGTTTTGATTAAAATTGCCACGTCATTCAATCATTAATAGGTGGCGAGTGATTTGTTAAAATGTTGCCATGTAGATTCGCCACATGTCGTAATTGTAGGAGATTAACTCTCAAATTTAATATACTAGTATTTAACCTGTGCAACGCAAGGGGTCGAACACATGTTATTTTTAACTCTTTTAAATGTTTGTTTTAAGTACATAATTAAAAATGAAGCTAAATATAATAGACAATGTTAGAATTTTAATGAATGATACAACACAAACAGAGTATGATAACTAAATTTAATCGAATATAAAATTGGAATCGAACGTAATAATGTTTTAATTAAATCCAAATTTTTTGAAAAACTTCAGGGTAAACCACATTTTTTGTGCAATTTCTAGTGTTACCACTGTCATC